GAAACAAGAAAATATTTTATATTTATTATTTAATGGAAATAAATAATATTTCAAAACAGTCTTAAGTTTTCAGCAATATTATTTTATAATTATAARCACTATTGTGAGTATTAATATAAGCTTAATTATTTTATTTTATTATAAATGTGTTTAATGTAAAAAATAACTAATTTTAACTTTTAAAGCACAGTTTCACAGAATACTGTAATATGATGTAAATTCATGTGAACTACTCCCTAAAAACTTATACAAGACCTATAGAAAATCTTTAGGGTATTCCCATACAACGTGGTGATTGATAAACTTATTTAAAGCGACTGAACTTCAGAAAATAATTTAAATTAAATATGGGTTAATGTAGTTACCTAAGTATTTAAGCATAAGCATTTTCGTTGTTGTATAATTCGAAAAATAAATAGGATGATCAAAATATGATCAGTCAAAACTACACATTTTGAAAAAATTGTTTTCTTAAATCGTTAGCATTGTTAGAACTTTTAACGATGTTTTTAATTATATATGCAATTGTAATTATGATTTAATGAATAAATAGCATGCAGAGAATAATTCTTAGACAGAAAGATGATCTATATTATTTAGTAGTGTATTTTATAATTTTGTATTTATGTTACGTTAGGTTATTTTACTATTAGTAGGTAATAATAAATTATCATTTATTACTAAAGAGTAAATAGTATTTACTAATTAGTGTATATTTACTACACATTAAAATATCAATATGTATTTAAAATATTGTATTATAATAAGTTTCATGTAGCAACAAATAATATTTTTAACTATCACAAAATTGTAACTAACATTTTTCTTCTTCATTTAAATATCTGATTTCCGTCAAATTTGAACTTCAAATGTCTATTAAAAAGAATAGTGCTTATATATTTTTAGTTTGAGTATAAGCTATACTATACTCATAAGAAGGCATGTATACAATTTACAATCCTCAGGTACAAAAATTGAACATTTTATAGATGTTAGCAACATTCATTTTTTCAAAATGTTAACATCAATGCTCATAAAAAAAATCATGTCCATTTATCCATATAATTTTAAAAATCTATAATCAAATGTCAGTAAACAGCTCGAAACAAATCAAAATATTTTGAAAATTTTGAAAATTTTAAAAAATATACGAAATGTCTATATAAACATTTAGTGAATATTTCAAGTATCTGCGGTCATTTGTTTTTGAGTTACACCAAAATAAGAAAATCGCTAAATGTGAAATTCAGTGAAAATCCAATGTTGTAAAACTTTAAATTTCAAACGCTCATAAAGATTTAATTTGAATTTCTGGTGGATATTTTTTTTTTGGTAATAAAGATTAACAAACTTGTAAGGAATCTTGTGTTAAATTTTCAAATTTTCAATTTAAAAAGAGCATTTTTTTATGAATTTCTAGCTTAAAATAATTTGCGAATTTTTGTGATTTTTACGTATTTTGTCAAAATTCAAATTTTGAATGCTTATAAAAAAAAATTGTGACTATGAATTTATTTTATTTTTCAACTGTTATTGTAATATTATGTTAGAAGCCTTGTATTAAATTTTCAAGCTTTTTTACCCAATAAATAATTTTTATCGATATTAATATCCCGTTTTTCCCCTAATTTTTAGTTTATTTATCCCGATTATTTAGAAAAATATTGAGAATTTTAACGAGGTACTAAAGTCGAAAATCTAAGCACTTTTACTCAGAATCTAAAATTATTGTATTATTATATGAGATATTTTATTATATCGACATACTCTATTAAAGATATTATTTCTTCTGATTTCAATCTATTATTATATTCTGTCCACTCAATGAATAAAATTATCAACAACTAGTAAATCTCGATCTTTTTCATATTTTATTTTTAATTCAAATTTTAATCAACACTTTTTAATAGTTATACTAAAGTTCACTATAAAATCGGCTGGAATTAACTAAATTCACCAATCTTTTTTTTTTCCCCCGTTTTAACCGACGACGCCGCGGGATCTCCTTTCGCATTGCTTCCGCGGCGCAAATTCACCAATCTATACTAGGTACATATGGATTTTATATTTTTATGTGCGAAAAAACATCTAAACGTTGAACTTATTCGATAACATACCATAATATTATCGCTATCTTATCCGTTTTTGATAAAACCATTATGGATCAATCAACTGTCGGCGAATYGGGAAAATTGAAACTTTATAAATAATTTGTTGGCAAACCGAGACGTCAGCAAACTAGACTGTCGGTGAAAAGAGAATATTTAAAAAATATTTTTTAACTGGTATATATGTCGACAAACTGAGTTGTCGGTGAATTGGGATTCGGCAAAATGGGTATAAACCTTTTCAACTACTATGAACCCGAATGTCCCGAATAGTCACCCATCCGAGAGCTAGTAGCTGTGACCGTTGCTTACTCCCAGTCGCATTCCGAGATTGGTAGTAGCCAACCGCGCCACGCCAAGTCACAAATAATTAACTATAACTATTTATAATCAATGTTATAACGGTTATATAATATATGAT